TGTGTGTGTGTGTGTGTGTCTATAGGCGCAGACACACCTCCCTCAGCTGTATATGGTTGTGAAGCTGTTGCATAACGTCAGCCTACTTTCACACCAACTTACAGTCAACAGCCACCTATAAGGGGGGGGGGGGGGGTCCAGCTCTCGTTTTAGCCCTCTCATTATACTTCATAACTACCCCCCCCCACACACACACACACACACGGTCCGGGGGGGGGGTAGTTAGTACAACAGGTTGCCTCCTGCCTCAGTGACACGTGTGGCCAAACTTCTGTCCTGCTCCCACCCCCCCACACACACCACCTCCACTACCGACCACTGCCACCCCCCCACCCCGGTCCCACTGCGCTCCCCTCGGGATGACAGCTCCACAAAGTCCCCTAAACTCCCCCCGGGCCCGTGTCAGGCCGGACAAAGTGCGCAAAAACCGGCCGCGAGTCCAACTTGTGGCAGCTTCCCGAGCTAGTTAGCATGCTAGTGTGTGTGAGTGTTGACGGAGCATAAGTTCGAGCAGCAGCAGCTCAACACGGGAGAATTCGAATAAAAGTGCTTTGGCTCGATCCAAACGACCCGGTTCGGCCCGGAATGTGTGTGTGCCGAGCCCCGGTGGAGTTGTTACCTGCCGGGCCCTCTGTAAAACATCGGCCAGGCCGTCTGACTTCAGCCCCGGCTGGTTCATCGAGGCCTGTCCCTGCACCAGCTCCGCCATCATAGCGCCACAAGCTAGCCGTTAGCAGTTAGCAGGATTAGCTCGAGCTGCTAGCCGAGCTGAAGCTGCCGTCAGAGAGCGCAACGAGGCGAGAGGTCTCACTCCGACGGCTTTTTCAGCAACCGCAATGAACCCACAATCCACAGCGGTAATTTTAAAACGTACTGAATTGAATGTTCATTAGTTTCTAATCATGAAGCTGCATCAGTCGGATTCATGTTCACATCTGGAAAACATCTGTGTGTGTATCAAATAACACCCCCTCACCTGGCAGGGTCAGCAATATTCATTTAACACACTAATTAACTCAGATCAAAGTACTGCAGTATTATCAGTTAAATACACACAATACCTGAAGTATTTATCAGTTCAATGACTTCATTAACTGAGAATTACTTTGAAACTACTTTGATGTTTGACTGTTTTTTAGATGTTTTCCTTCGATCATCGGATTAATTGATAATCAATAATGATTCAGTCTCTAAATCACATCAGGGATTTATTACTTTATCATTTCTCTCTGTTTATATTCATCAGTGGTTTTGTCCAGTGTTTGTGGAATAGAAACAAACAGGAAACACCATTGACTTCTATTGTACAGATGTTTAAATTGAAAGTGATCACGTGGATTCATTTTTTTTACACTTTTGTTGTGTTTTCATTTCTGTCTTCTGGTTGTTGGTTTTAATGTCTAACAGTGTTTCGTTTTTTAACGACAGAGTGAGTCATCGCTTACACAGAGGATCTCTGCCGCTGCTCAGCTGTTGGCAATGCTCTGTTTCCGCTTCCGCGTTCAGTCACGTGCTTCAGCCAGCTCCACAGGTGGACAGCTGAGTTTGAAGAGCAGAAGAAGAAAGTGATCGACCTGTCTGCTCTGCGTGACGTCACCGTGACCTTTGACCTCTGTGACCTCGACATTGATTGTATTTGTTTAAAAGTGAAAAATGAAAAGTAAAAAAACAAAAGAAGTTTGGTCAAATCTCACATGATTTGTTATTGATTATCTATCGATCAATAAAGTAACCAATCAATGAATTATCATTCAACAATAAAAGATATAAACACAGAATGAATAAAGTAAATGTACAGAACAAACTAAATCAGATCACTGACCAATATATATAAATACACATACACACACAGTTTATACCTTCTATTAGAAGTGTAGTATTGTGTGTGTGTGTGTGTGTGTGTGTGTGTGTGTGAGCGAGAGAAAGAGCCAAAAATCACATATGGTCCAACAAACAGGACCCCCCCCCATCATTAACAACACACACACACACTCACACACACATACACTCACACACACACACACACACACTACAGTGGGTCTTTAATGCCACTTAAGGCTGTTAGTGTTTCCTGTTGATGTCCATCAACAAGCTCTTCACAAGCCATCATTTTCCACTCTGCAGACCTCTTTACACACACACGCCCACAAACACACACACACACGCACACACACACACA